TCTGATTTATACCCGAGTCCTGGGTCAAGGGTCCCAAGTTCCTTGCCTCACCACCGTCTAGCTGCATGCCTGTACCCATAAGATCCCAAACCCGGAGTAACTAAGTAGTATAAGCCTCACGCCCTCGTCTCACAACGTCTTTATGCAGATTACGAAGACTTTCGTACGTCAGGGACTCGGTGATGATAGCAATCTCTGGCTCCCCTGTGGGTTGTGAGGTTCCTCCATTCCTGTCCCTATCTGCAGGGTGCTCTGCTTTCACCTTAGACTTCCTTGTTTCTACCGGGGTCACTGCTGCTGGCTGTGACTGCCTTTGTGGTTCAGCTGGAACCTGGACAGTTGTAACATTTGTGGGTTCCACAGCTGTACTATTAGACTGTCCCTCCTCAAGGCAAAGGGCCGGTTTCTCACCAGCTGGGGAAATGCACTCCTTCAGCATCTCTCGTATCTCCTTAACCAGAACCCTCACCCAATCTGGGTGGTTCATTTCTGAGGTGGGGTGTGGGGCAGGGTTAGGCTCTGGAGCAGCAGCATCTCGAGTCTCTGGGACAGTGTCAGGTTCTGCAGGAGCATACCTAGCCTCTGGTGTAGGTGTGAGGGTAGTTATCCAGGTTAATCTTCCCTTATCTCTGAGTGCTAAATATAACAGGCCTATCAGCAACACCACTCATTGTATGATATCATTAGCACTTAGAGAGGATCTTAACCCTTTGAGAGCTGGTGGAGCAGACTCAAAAAGATGGTTAAAAGGTTGTGAGAAAGTTTCCCCAGGTGCTATTTCTTCGCAGTAGGTACCGTTATTAAAGTAACCCCAAAAACATACAGTTAGTGTGTGATAGTTATGAATCCATGTGTCTGCCTTCCAGAGGAAATTAAAGATCCATGAATTCCTTACCCAATTAACCCAGAAGCCAAACTTGATAACAGACACAGTAGCCTTAGTTATAGGACCCATTTTTAGATAAGGGTCTGCAAATGGGAAAAGTATAGCTACGATCACATGCCACCCAAACCAATGTAAACTAGACCACATGGTGATGCTTAAGATGTTTCTACACACAACAAATAACCAAATTACTTAAGAACTGTTAATCCTTTTTTCCCTCTCAATGCCCTCAAACCCCACGTTGATGCGCCAAAATCTGTCTTGGTTTGACAAGACAGGGGTCTGTGAAGGAGGGCAAAAGCCTCCTGTGCAATGGAGAAGGTAAACCCCCTCCCTCCGAATTATTAGGATTTTTAAATTAAAAGGCTCTCAGGCAAAGATATGGGAATGGGAGTAACAATTCTTTACTAGAAGAAAAATAGATAACAATTTAAAAAGGCAAATGCAATCAGTACAAACAAAAACTAGTGATAAAGTCCACAACCTGAGGATTCGGGGTGTTGGTAGCAGTCCGGTTGAAATGATAGCTGCTCCTCTTGCAGTGGCTGATGAATTGCAGCTGAAGTGGTGATCTTTAGAAGGGTATAGTTTTCTCTGAAGATCTGGTGGCAGTGGGGCCGGTCTTCCTCTGCGCCGGGGTTGCCTCTGAGCTCCGCCGCTGCCGCCTCACCGCGCTCCAGCCGCTTCTCTGGGAATCCCGCTGAAGGAGCTGCTTCTCTGGGAAATCCCACAAAGAGAGAGCTGCTCTGTCCCCTAAAAGGTACCCCTTTTATCCAATAAAAGAGTGCTTGGCTTCCCCCTCTGGGTGGAGCATCTCACAATGGGATGGTGTTACGTTACCAGCCCTGCATTGAATCAGTCAATGGCCCATTAACAAACCATTACCTCTTCGGAGCAAACCATTGTTCTTGGGAGAGATAACAAACCTGCCCAACCTCCAACAGATGGCAAATAGAATACAAGCTTATTTTACAACCCAGGACAAGGGTGATTCCTCAGATGTTCCTGAAGGAGAACTCTTGGGTAGTCCCTCAGATATTCCTGGAGGTGGGCCCTGGGATGCTCCTCATGATGCTGCTGGGATGGTGCCCAAGGGAAGACTCCAAAGCGTCCCTGGGGGTGTCCCCATGGTGATCCCTAGGTTATTCCCTGATATGTTCCTAGTGATGCAGCCTGGGATGGCCCCTGGCAGGGGTGGGATGGATGGTCTGAGGATGATGATCCTTGGCTGGGTGTCTGGGATATTCGTGGGAAGGGAATGAAGGAGAGACAAAAAAAGAAGGGAGAAGGAGGGATTTTCTGTGGGGGGAACAGTGTGGGACATCTTGGAGCTGCTGTGGTGTGAGGGGCCTCTGGGCTGAACTGTGTTAGTGCAGGACTGACTGTCTCCACAGGACTGACCATGCCCACCTCCGCTTTTGGAGCAGTCTACGAAGTGTCCCCTGTACATAATGAAGTCAGGCAACAGGATTGCCACAATCATGATCTATGTGAGTCCCCCCTTGTTTCCAAACCTGGAGGGATGGCACTGGCTTGGCCCTCACAGGATATGGGGTGGGTGAGGGCAGCCCTAAAACACTGGAGTGCCTGGGAAGTGCCAATGTCTGTGGAGTATTCAGAAGCTTGTGCTGTGCCAAAGCGAGGGGAACAGAGTTGGGGCCCAAGAGAGGTTTTGTGCCTCGGTTTCCCTGTGCAAAGGAGCATCCCAAGGAAGGGGGGATCCATGGCTCCTATTTTTGCTCCTTTTCCAGCTGAGTGCAGTGGAGACTGGAGGCTCCACTGCTTTCATCTATGCCAACTTCAGCGTCAAGCAGTCAAGGTGAGGGGTCATGAGGAATCGCTGGGAGCAGGGAAGGGAGGGTGCTGCTCTCTGTATCTCAGTTCTCACAGGGAGTTGTGCTCAAGCCTCTCCTGATGCCAAACCGCAGCCCTGGGCTCCCTACTCTGTTTTGAGGTGCTAAAATTTAGTCTTGGGTATCCCAGCTTTGTTTTAGGGTACTAGACCCATCTCTGCTCCACAGAACGCGGCTCTTTTCTGGTGGAACCTGCGGAGGAATGGGAATGTTGACGGGGACACCCTCCACGCCGGCTGACCCGTCCTGGACGAGGACAAGTGGGGTGAGAGATGCTACCAGGTGTCATCCTGGGGTGACATGAGGCTGAGCTCCGCTGACAGGGAGGCAAGAGGGGCTGAGAATGCACAAATACACTGGATAACAGGGGGAAAAGTTCCCCGATAGCAGCACAGGATTAGAGAAAGGTGCAGAGGGAAAGGAACAGACAGGGGTCCGTGTCGTCGTCTGTTCCAGCGGTGAATAAGTGGATCCATGAACATGGGCAGGAGTTCCGGCGGCCGTGCAGTGCTGACCCACATGACTGAGCTGCCGTGGGATCACAGATGTGACATGTGCAGGTGGCAAAGCCACCCTGGCACAGCAGAGAGAAAGGAGGGAAGGGGATAGCAGCGGAGCAGGGGTTGATCGGGAGAGGCGCTTGCTCAACCACGGCCAAACTGGACGGAAATAAAATCGGAAGAACAAAACCGGAGTCTGTCCTGAGGTGCCAAGCCCTATCCCTGGGGCTCCCCATCTGTTTTGGAATGCCAAAATCCAGTCTCGGGGAGAAGGCAGCTCCTTCCAGCCATCCTGGCCCCACGCCTGCCTGCAGACAAGCTTCCTTCCTGCACCCCGACCGCAGTCCCAACGCAACCGGAAGTCGAAGAGCAAGGGGCAGGCAGCCGGGGTGGGCAGCGCATGGGGCCCGGGCAGGAGCCCGCGCCCAGCACCTCCGTGGGCGACTGCCCAAGAGCAGGGAGGGATTGGCTGCGGCACAGCAACTGCCCAGCTCCGGCCAGCCCCATTGTCCCGGCGGGTTTCCTGTTCCCTGGTCCGTGCTCCGTACCCAGCCGTACCTGCTGTGTCTGTGGCTTCAGCAGGGAGCCTCGGGGCTCTCTGCGGCCTTTCCCAAAGCCTCCCTGTCCGGCGGTCCGCGGGGCCGTGCGGCCCGGGCTCCCTCAGCCTGCTTCGCTGGCCTGGGCTTTGAGATAAGTGGAAGATCATTTGTTCACTGTGATATGCTCGATTACCTTGGTTTGCATAAGAATGTACTGGTGTGTCTTTGAAATGCTTATTTGCTTACAAGGTGATAAGGAGGTTGAGATTAGAGTCCTGGGTGTGTGTATCTGGTCTGCTTGCTGTATCTCAAAAGAAGAGACTTAGAAGCTATCACAACGACCAGACTCAGACTACATCTGGAGAGTCACGCCTGCAAGGAGAAGGGGGGGGATAAAAGGAAGGTTGGGACAGAACATTTTTGCGCGCCGTTGATGGAGCAGGAGACTCCCCGGCCGCCCAGCGCTGTGCTTTGCCTGCCTTACTCGCTTGCTATTTTAAATAAAATTGCTTTATTGAATTAAGACACTTCAAATTGTCGTGTCACAATTTATAACAGGCTTTGTTAGCCTAGGCAGGCGGGTTGGCTTTTTTTTCCGTGGCCTAGGAGACTGTGGGGACAATCCTTCGGCCGTTGTTTTTTTTTTGTTGTTGTTTTTTTTGGTTTTTTTTTTTTGGTTTTTTTTACCCCCGAGCTGTTCGGTTCGGTTTTGGTCCAAGATCACAGAGCCGGCGGGAGGAGCACCAGCCGGGATGGGAGGGGCAGGCCCGGCCGTGCCCGGCCTCAGACCTCGGCACAGCTGAGCCAGCCAAACCCAGCGGCTTCATCTGCAGCGAGGAGGGGACCCCGCCGTAAATCCAGCAGGTTCCCTCCCGTTTTCCCCGAGCTGCTGCGTGCACTCTTTGTGTTTGCCCTTCCCTGAGGCAGCAGCAGCAGCCATTTTTCTCCCTCCTCACCACGTTGCAGCAGTTGTGGGCTTTTTTCCCTTTCCCTGGAATTTTGTTTTGTTTTAGTTTTTTGTTTGTTCTTGTTTTTGTTTTGGTTTGGTTTTGGTTTTGTTTTGTTTTATTCAGTTGGGGTGGTGAGGGCGGGGGAAGCACAGTGGTGTTAAGGTCAGACGACAATTCATTATTTAGCATTTATTAATTTGCTTTTTCCTCGCCGTGTGGGCACTCTGGGAAAAAACGATTGGTGTTTTTTCACTTTCATCCACTACTGTTAACCTCCTGTTGGCAGAAAGGGATTGTTGGAACCCTTTCTTTAGAAGCAGTATTTATTTCAGAGCGTTTTTCTCCTAAATTTGTCTCTAGACCGAGACACTCATGTAGGTGACATTTGGAATGAGATTCAAATCCTTCAGGATGGAAAGCCAGCTTTCCAGAGAGGTCACCATAACACCTCCTGGCCTTGCATCTTTCCCAGCTGGAAGAGAAAGGACAGAAATCTGGGAGGGGGATGGAAATAGAAAGCAGACCTCTCCCGAGGTTCTCCTTGCTTTGGGGTCAGATATGTGTTTATCACTCCATCCAGCCATGGATTAACCCTTCCATAGGCTCACAGGGATAGTGGGTGAGCTGCAGGGAGCATTTGGGCAGGCCAGCAGGAGCTGGAGCACTGGGAAGAGGCACCAGCAGCCCTTTGGGGCTGTTAAACCTGCTGGAATGTAAAACAGCCTGAAAGACTTCTAGTTTCTCCCAGTTCCTGCTTTTCAGTCAGGAACAAGCACCGCAGGACTCGGAGAAGGCTGAACAGAGCACAGATTACTCACCAGCCCCAGTTCTCCAGTTTATACTTCCAGATGTTTCTGCATATATGGGAGTCACTGGTCACAGAAAGGAGGGAGGAAAGTGAAAGCTGTGGCTAAATTCCCCCCTCCTCTCCACACTGTGGTGCAGGGAAGGGATGGGGGAGCATTTTGGATGACAAGAGGCTTCCATGAGTTGCCAGAAAAACCCAATGGTTGGCTCTGGTGCAGGAACAGCTGGATCAACCCCCTTCCTCCACAAGCAGCTCCAAGGAGCCCAAGTATCACAGCTAAAGGGAAAGCAGGAATTCCTACTGCAGGCTTTTCACAAATGCTTTATTTGTAGGCGAGGGCAATGGACACAGAACAAGACAAGATCAGGATGAGGCTGACACAGGACATGGCATGGCGTCTCCACAGAACTGACGCCCACACCCATTCACATTTTCCTTCTGGAAACAGCAGCACGTGGCAGGAGGTCACCCTGCCACACTGGGAAGGCTCAGCCACAACTGGCCAAGCACTCGGCAGCAAAACTTGGAGCAAACACCCAGTCCCATTCCCACCATGTTGGATGCCACATGGACACAGTGCTGAGGGGCAGCAGCCTCAGACAGACGGACAGACGGACGGCACAACCCAGGGATGCAGGTTTGGGCAACACAAAGGACACTTCCAGCCTGTGAGCAGAGCGCCAGGCTCTGGAACGGGTGGAAGAATGCACTAGGGACAAGGGCTCTTGGAAGTGAAAAGCCATAAACTCAAGTTTTTGACCTTGCCTAAAGATCCAGGTCTAGATTTCCAAAAGTGTTGATTACCAGTTCAAACCAGTGAACAGCTGGTTGTCAGGTACCTCCACACAGCCCATTTCCCAGGCCTTTGCTCCCAAAAGAAAAGGCAGTGGCGGAGAAGAAGAAGAATGCAGTGCTGAAGTCACAGAATCAGAATTATTTGGGTAGGGACCAACCTTAAAGCCCATCCAGTGCCACCCCTGCCATGGCAGGGACACCTTTCACTATCCCAGGGTGCTCCAAGCCCCAGTGTCCAGCCTGGCCTTGGACACTTCCAGGGATCCAGGGGAAGCCACAGGGATCTGGGCATACTGTGCCAGGGCCTAAATTGTAAAAAAACTTCTTCCTAATACCCAATAGACCCTCCTGGTGGGGGGGAGGGGGCGGGGAATTCTTCAAGGTCTGTGTTGCCCAGCTCTGCTTTTTGCTTGCAAATCACAAAAACGTGGAAAGCAGGGCTGGAATGGGCTTCCTCAGCCTTCCCCTGGCAAAAAGGGAAAAATAACTACGTATTGCTGCATCACCTCTGCAGACCCCCTATCAGAATCTGAGGGAAAAATTCTGGCTGGACAGCCCCAGGCCTGAGTTTAATTCCGTACTCAAGGGTTGATTTATTCAAAGCAAGAGTACCTGCTCTGGCAATACAGGAAATAATCTTTTTCCAGCAATCCCAATGCTCCAGTCATCTGTAAGTCCCTGATGGCTTTGTCCAGTACACATAATCTGGCAAAACTCATCCTAGGTCTTAGACATTTATTTATTTAATTTATTCAATTAAAATGAAGCCTGCAACAGACCAGCATCCCGAAGTGCATCTCCTGCTCCTGCCAAACCTTGGGATCCTCCACTGGGAAAATTGCCACTGATCCTCAATCCAACAAGTGAAACAAAACCAAGAGAGGTTTCTAAGTAATCAAAAGGCTACAGGAAAAATGCAAAGATGGGAGTTTTGGGGTGGAATTTCTGTGTGTCCCTGTTTCTCATGAGCCAAAGAGAAGACTTTCTCTCTGCAGTTACTTTTATCACAGCCTGTGTATCCTTCACCAAATGCCATTTATCTCAGCTGCAGCCCCCTGTAAAACTGCAGCAGGATCATTAATACTTCTCAGACAAAAGTACAGCCTCAAGAATGTGCATGGCTTGACAGAACCAAAAGGAATTTCCCTTCCACCCACCCCCACAGTACTGCTGCTGTCCCTGGAATCCGTTAATCCAGTACCACACGAGTCCCTGAACATTGATCCAGGGCCAGGCAGGGCTGGGAGCTAACACGGAGCAACGCACCATTCAATTAAATAGGCTCTTGAAATATTTATTTTCTTTTCACTCACTCAATGTTAACAGCAAAACAGAATCCCAGGCAGCCCACAGGATTTCAGAAATCATTCCTTTTCCAGTGGTATTTCTACAGAATACAAAACTGATTGGCTTTCCACGGAGGGTTCTGTTTGGTTGGGCTTTTTTACAAGCTCACAAATCACAGGGATAGATAACACGAGGAATCACTCCAAGTCAGACTCTCCAGGTTACTTCAGCACAGAGGAATGTGACTTCACTATGATCATTCATGAGTATTATCCTGGGAAGTGAGACTCTGGATAGACACGCTGGAATAGTTCATCCCTAACAATCTGAACAAAGGGGACTCCTGCAGAAGAAAATTTTGACCATTTTGGGGATATGGCTGGGGAAAGAACTATTTTGTATCTTGACTACTGAAGAGCCACTGAATCCATCAGGAACTAAACCAGGGCGGATGCTACATCAAATTAATGCACTGACAGGGTGACTCACAGTGGGAAGCACAGAGAGCCAGCAATTGCTCTTTTAACACCTGAATGCCACTGCCAAAGTGCCAGGAGGGCATTCCTCTTTGGAATGAGGCCTTCCTGTCTCTAATCCACGTGCTTCCCAGCTTGATGTGTCAGGGAAGGGACAGGGAGCAAGACCACC